TTAGGAGATTCCTGCTTTAACACACTTGATTCAAAATATTTGATTGCTTCCCCAGCTTGTTATTCAGTTCCACAGATCAGATCTCTCTTTTGTTTAGATGGTGAAGCAGGCTAACATTTAACGTGCAGAGAAGCAGGTCATGAGGGCAAGAGTTGGGCACCTCTGCTCTAGAAATATGTTATTGGCCTGTTATAAAGTTTTTATTTCCTGTGTTATTATTAAACATAAGGGGAGAGTTCATGAGAATCGTTCACTTATTTAGTCCTCCAGGCTGATTGTTTGTAGACCTATATGTCTGATCTAGTGATTCCAGGGCATATCTGAACTGGAGGCAGTGGATTTAGATGATGACTTTGAGGTATTGTTTGTCAACAAAATTTAGTCAATAGCCAGGATGTTTGTAGGCAGACATTTTTAGGCACCTTATTTTGATTATTTGATTATTACTGCTTGCTCTCGATGAGGATGGGTGCTATTCCTCCTGCTCCTGCCTCCCTCCTGCTTTGCTCGTTGTCTTGTGATTCCTATCGGAGCCTCTCGCTACATATCCTCCGAATTGTAAATTATGGATCTGGTTAGCTGGCCTCTCAACGCAAATGACATAATTTTCTTGAGGAGATAGTGCGAAGGAGAACCCTCATGCCCTGAGGGACACTCGCAGCTGGATATACTATGGATTCCTGGGGCTAGTGGAAGATGGTGTGTCTGTCTGTATTGTCAGTTGAGGACGTAGAAGTCGCATACATAATTGGATTTATGATAACTGGATTTCTGCTATTTGGTGTTGGCGAGTATCTGGCATATCGACAAATTTGGAAAGATGGCGGCAGCGGTTCTGGCAATTGTGCGGCTGCCTGCCTTGTGTGAAGGCATGTACTGAACGCTAAGCTCTCAGACTCAGAAGCTGCATGAGCTGAGCCGTGAGCTGGACGCGATTTCTGAGAATCGCAGGCCACCTGCGGCTCCTGGGATTCACTGGCGGGAAGGACCTTAGAGAAAGTCACAAGCTCGGTTCGGCGGTGTGACCACCAAATTTGGCTGTTTGGAATCGCCAGTGAGACGTACCAGCAGAACTATCAAGGCAGACATGGAAATTCAAGCAGAGGCTGCCTGACCCAAAATAATGGTGTTATCTGAATTTGGCTTCCCCACTCGGCCTTGAATTGGCCAACCATCTCAACTTCTCCTGGTTGTTTATGTGAACAAGGAGCTCTGCTCCCCCTCACCCCCCACCCCGCTGTCGCTCCCCTTCCGAGGACACCTGTGGATCTGTGTCAGAGTTGAGCCGGATGATAGACACTGTTCCATCTTTATCAGGACTATGGAACTTTCTGGTGGTGTCCACGGACAACTCCCTGCCCTCGTCGGCCTCCTTATGCATAAATATATTATGATGTCATCAGTATGTTGCTGTTTCATGTGCTGAAGTCATTTTTTGTGCAACTTTCACACTATGTCCCATCTAGGACACAGTGCGAGATTGGGTTTATAATTTTTTTTTTTTACACCTACACTCGCCCTCGTGTTTCTTTTTCCTTATCTGAAAAAAAGGGCTGCTCCTCTCGAGGCCGGTGGCCTCAGTCACCTCTGTCTCCCCATGTCTGTTTGTTTGTTTATGTTTCTCTCGGACGGGCTGCACTGAAATGTAATTTTGCTGCGCTCCAGTGCAATGACAATAAATTTGATTCTGATTCTGATTAGCTGTGTTTCAAATCTAGTAATGCACATGTGTTACCTGTAGTTTTTGTATCCAGCTGCCATGTTGACAGCTGTTTATCACAGTTATGCTTGTTTCTTTACTGTTTGTAATCTGATTTCACCATGTGTGGGGGTGTGGGGCACAGCCACAGGCTATGCAGAACATCTGTGTTTGGGTGGAGAGGTGAGCACACAGTTTTTACTGCTTGCCACACCTTTGCTGTTGCACTTTAGTACAGCGTTTCTGTAACAGGTCTAGATCAGTGATTGTCCACTTGTTCTCCAAATATCTGCTGTGGAAGAAGTTTCCTGAGCCTTGAATAGACTAGAACAGTACCCAAATCCAAAGCAGCTCTTTAAAATGAAAGTTTTAACTTGTCTCACTGTTTTGAGTTGTAAAGATGCTTTGACGTCTGAAATATTTATAGACCTCTAGGTTAAAATCAGTATGTGGCCTAAAAGGAGTTTTGTAGGTGTATAAACTTATTTGTCTGCATTTGGATAAAGTTGGCAAGAAAAGGGTCCGCCCGCACAGGAATGTTTATATACTTATTTATTTTTGTAAAAAATGTAAAAGTTTTTATTGTTTCAGCCATGCATCCCCATGGAAACAGTTTTTAAGATCCGTATTCATTTTTTTAAATGAGTTTTAGAGTTAAAAAAAACCCATTGAAACGCAGTCCTTGAATTGTTGTTCAGGCCATTAAAACCTTTTAAAATCGACGCTGTTACACTGTCTAATCTACCTATGAGCCGAGTACGTCCTCGTCTTGTGTTTCAAGTTCAAGTCCAAGGTACTTTGTCATTTGCATCACATGTGGAACATGAGGTGGAATGAAATTGTGTGCTCAAGGTCCCAGTTACACCCAAAACTAGCTAAAATATACAGTATAAAGTAAACTGTATATAAGGATCTGATATATGTTAAACGGATGCTAAACGATACGCTAAAGATCAAAGATGTACACTAATAATGTAAAATAATACAGTATATTAAACAGCAGCCCAAACATGAGTCTGTTGTGAGCAGATGCGTATGAATACAGTAGCATAAAGGCAAGAGATCAGCAGCATGGATAATCAGCAGCTTGGATAAGTCATTTCCACCCGGTGTGCAAGCTTTACTCGAATGTTGCACTCTTTATTGTTTCTGGTGTTATTTGTGGCAGCGTTGCAGCTCTACATACAGGCCTGGCATCGTTTCTGCAGCATTTTTTTGTTGTTTCTTTGTGAATGAAGACATTTCCGGAAACGGGTCAGCGTTTACTAGAGTATTTTTTAATATTTTTTAAAAGACACGTCAAAAGATGGCTTTGAAACGCCGCACGTCTGGATGGACAAGGCCTAAGTGAGCCTGACCTGTGCAGAGGATTTACTTGAGATTTTACCAATCTGATTCTGTTCTGGCACAAGGAAAGTCAGATTGATACATCTGGGAGATGATCTTTGTGTGTTTTATGACCCCTGGGTCAACTCAGCGAAATGGCCAGCTGTCAGGGAACAGCTGTGCAACTATCATGCACCAAACTCTGCCATTGCTCCTTCATGCAGACATTCAAAGTATTTTTTTTTTTTTTGAAAGAATGTGGTCTATCCTGCAGGTGCCGTTTGTGTTTCACACACCTGGCCTGGTTTCACTGTGAAAAAGTGTGTGTTTTTGTAATGAATGAACTCATCGCTCATTCATTCAAGAGGCAGGCAGGAGCTGAGATCAACAGCCTCTCCTTTTTATCATAAGCGCTGCGCTCAGATAATCGATCCCATTAAAAGTCTCTTGATATGTTAATGGATGACATGCTTTTCTGCACGATTGCCACTTTACACGTCTGAGTGACGGTGTGTGTGTCAGCAGAGAGATGTCAAGAACAAAGATCTAAATTATGGTTTTTAGTCTTGTAGACACAGATTAGTCATGCTGTCTCTCTTTATTTTAGCTTGCAGCATCTTTGATTCTGAATTTGCATCAAATAAAGCAGAGGCTCAGTTTTGAAGTCTAGTCCTTAAATGGCCACATTTATATAAAATTAAATATCATAGTGGTTCATAACTGAACCCAAGACAATGTGATTGCCTGTTGTGGCACAAGCTAAAGCGGTATTGCATCATCAAGTGGCTCTTCATAGCTTTCTCAACAGAAGAAAAAAAGAGGGTCAACACTGTTTGGTAGGCCTGTCACGATAACAAGTTTTGCTGGGCGATTAAATGTCGCAGAAATTATTGTGATAAATGATAATATTGTTTGAAATTTGACAATAATTAGTCAAGTCAAATTTAAGAAGAAATGTTGGTTAATTTTTTTGTGTAGTACCTTCTTTGTCCACTGGATGGTGGTATAAGACTGTTTGAACCGAAGGATGGATAGTGAGGGAGCGAGCAGCGTGTCTGTGTAAGAAAATGGGATGGAGGCCCCTTGTAACATGGGCTGTCTCTCGTTCCTGTTTTTCGGTTCTCAAAATGGCGGACGCTCGGTGTGGTTTGAGCTCTTTAGCATAGCATTTTTCACACAAAGCTCTTAATAAAAAAATCAGCAAACAAGTTCTCTGCTTCTTTTTGCAGAGAAAAACAACTTTTTAGATGAAGGCACTCGTTTCAACCGTGAATTTTGTAGCTTTGACAAGACGAAGGTTTTTTTCCCCGAGGTCGGCCTGTTAGCTTAGCTCGTAGCTTAGCTTCTCAGCTTAGCTGCTTTTAACGATCCAAAAACACGATTTTGGACGGTTAAAATGGATTTTAAAGAGAAAGGGAGGGGTCAGTGAAGAGCACCGGAGTTGAGCTTTTTGTCATCCAGTGTCTTCAGTAGAAAGAGAGAGACACGAAGAAACGATAAAGCCAATAAATGAAAATGAGGTTTATAATTTTCATTTATCGTGCAATTATTTGATTTATTGTTTATTGCGACAGGCCTACTGTTTGCTAAAAACACAGTTTCAGAATTCCTGAGCTCTAATCATATAAAAGTGGTGATAAAGATCAGTCGATTTGAGGTAAAGAATTGTCTGGTGCATTTGTCACAAAGTTTGTTTTCTTTAAAGAAAACACTGTTCTTATGAAAATATGCAACAAAAAAAGTCACTGTAATGTTTCCATTAGTGGAATCTCTACAGATGGTAGCAGCGCAGGAAGCAGCAGACCAGGTGTTGCCTCGTTGCCTGGTCTGAGCCAACACATGCTGCAACGCAAACCACATGGCAGTCATTAAATCTAAATCAAACACACCCAAAAAGTTGGCATAATGTGGCTGATTTCATCAATCAAAATCTCTCAGTAAACTAACTGTTGTGTAAATTTTTTTTGTTCCTTAGATGACGAGGAGGCGCTGAACTCCATCATGAAGGACTTGGCTGCTTTGGGCCGCTACTCCAGTCAGCACAGCATCCACAAGCCCAAAAGCAGAACGCTGCTTTACAAACAGGTAAGCGTTATGTACGCTTCATTTACTGCTGATAGCATCTTCTAAGTGCCAGCGCGACTCGTTCACAATGACTAAATGGTCTAAAGAGGTAGTTCAGCTGTTTGGTGAGGTTCTGTGGAAAGGTATGAACATTTAATATCTTACCTGTTGTAAATGGCTTTTTGAACAACCTTAGTTTGGATAAATAAAATTAAACTCTTACCAGATTGACGACCTAATGGCCAGTCTAAGCAGGGCCAAGAACAAAGTGGATGTCTTAAAATAACTGCAACATGCAGCTGAAGTGCTACAGCTAGCTGCTGCTGTTTGCAGATAACAGTAGAATTTAATGAAATTAACTGTGTAAGGCAAAATTCATGAAAATGTAAATATTTATAAACGGGTTGATGTGAACTGCTATGAAACTTTTGCATTGAACTTGTTTCAAGACTTTGGTTATGGCCCTAATCATACTAGCCATTAGCTCATCAGTCCTGTCAGAATTCAACTGTTTCTCCAAACTGATGCCGTTTAAGGAGCCATCTACAACAGGTCTAATATTATAAAAATTACATGAAGTTTTTACTCTTTAATTAGATAAGCCATGTCCCGTTGGTTAAAGCAGTAAATGGAAAAAATGCTTAAAATGACATTGAGTTTAGCAGGTTTTCTATGTTTTATATATTCTGTGGAGAAAGAAAATGAAAACCCTGTTTTTCTATCAAATTATAACTGGATAATCCTGAACTGGTTTGGACACACTAAATATATACAGTAGTCCCTCGTTTATCGTTCTCGGGGGGTTCTGTTCTCAGTCCACCCACAATAAGTGAAAAACCGCAAAGTAAGAATAGTTGTACAAGTAGTAAGTAAAGGCATTTTAAACCCTTCCCACACTCTTGCAATATTCTAATAATAAATAATAATAAAGTAAATAATAAAGTGCTATGTGTTGTCATCATTGTTACTATGTTCCCATACAAAGATGAAATTGGCTCTCTGCATTTAACCCATTGCACCTGGGATACACCCAGGTGGAGCAGTGGGCAGCTATGTAAAGCCTCCAGTATACTCCCGCGTACGTCAGTCCGCGTGTACTGGATTAGAGTCAAAGCGGATGTCCGCAGTGCATGTCCGCGCAAAGCTCAATGTTACGACCGCGTACGCGTACGCGTACTCTGTGTCGCACAATAAACTGCCCGGCGACGGACTGTTTTGTATGCGACACCAATGTATTAAATTCCCCTTCTTCATCCCTGATCTGGCCTTTTCTTTTGTTTTTTTGCCAAAAGGCAAGCGATCTCTTCCTCCTCCTTCGTTGATGCCATGACTGAAATGGTGAGAAATGAAGGAATTTGTCACGAGCGAATTAAAACCAGGTCCAGCATGGTTGCGGGAGTGTCTGGAGATTTCCTGGTGGGCTGGTCTGATGTGTGGGCTGCAGGGCCAGTGCTCTCTGGTTTTTTATTTTTATATTTTTATTTTTTGAACTTTTTATTAACAACATATAAACACAACAAGGCTGCGGCTGGGGCTGCCAGCTCTCTCTTTTTTTTCTCTCTGACCTGTCAATCAATCCAGTAGGCGTGTCAGCAAATGACCAGTCGGCGACCTCAATTTGTCCTGAAGGTAAACGCCCCTTGTCTGCAGAGCTGCTCTGCAGCTGCTCAGGGTGGACGCTTGAGCATGAAGTCTGAACCCTCTGCGGAGAGTGTGCACAGTTTCCACGCAGCTGACAGGACGTGGGTGTATACTGGGGGCTCCTGCTCAGAGACGCCACGAGATGTGCAATGATTGGGGATCGAACCCAGGACCTTCGGGTCCTGAGTCGACTGCTCTGCCCCCTACACCATCTCGGCCCCATGAACAACATTTCTACTCTGAACGCTATAAAAGAGCACAGCATGTCATGATCTCCGCTCTGTTTTCCTCCAACTGCTCTCTGCCACCTGCCAGTGCTCTCGGCCACGCCCACTTTTCTGCTGCAGAGCAGAGAGCTGACATGCTGTAGGAGGAAGCTTCTCCCTGCACATGTGGGCTGCACGCAGGTGCTAAATAATTTAAAACAATTTTTTTTAAATTAGAAAATTCAGGCCGATCTTGCGGCTCATCCGTCAATCATCCAGCTGTGTGTCATGTTCAATCTTGCTTTGACAAACCGTGAAAGTCGAACCACGAAGTAGCGAGGGACTACTGTAATACGTATTATTTCTCATGTATCATTTTGAAACGCTTTTAAAGTTAACTGCAGTGAGCATCAATTCATTCTGATCACTGATTTAGACGAACTTTTCCAGCCACTTTTCAAGTCTGAACGGCATTTGATACTAAAATACATTCTCAGTTTTAAACCTTCCAGACAGCTTTTTAACTGTCATCATTACACACAATACTTGAGCTGCTCTATCTTTCTGATTCACTTCGCCAGACAGTTTGCAAGGTGAAGGTTGTGATGGAGTTTAGCTCCGGATGAGGCAGAAAGCGGCTTATTTCGAGTCCAATTCAAGCCTGTTGACATTAATGTGAGAAACCTCAGTGTTTCTAAAACTTAATTTCTCTCAGTCACCTCCTAATGCTCTCGGAAGCCGTCTCTTCGTGCATTTGTTCCCCGTCCGTGGAATGATAATTGGCAAATCCTCTTAAAGCAGCAGTGTTTATGATGAGGCGTAAACAAACTGCGAGGAGCAGAGAGAGTTTCCGCTCGGAGAGCTGCTTTTCCTCTGTGAGCTAGGGTAAAGCCCCCCCTCTCCCCCTAATTTTCACCCAATCTCCTTTGCTGATATGATGACAGTGTTGGTTTATCAAAATGACCTCATGCAGACTTCCAGACTCCTGCAGATTCCTGCCCCCCTTTGGTTCTGACTTTGAAGAGAATGCATTCGGTGTGTCCTGTTGTCCTTGTGTTCCAGAGCAAAAACAACAAAATAAACCGTAAAGCTTCACTTCAAACCATCTCTAGTTTATCACTTTCATTTATTCGGCGGCACAAATCCCTCACACAGCCATGAATTATTGTAACTTTCCACCTCCGTAACGCCGCTTTGTTGTTATTCTTTCTCTCAACAGGATTTAAGAGTCAAGCTGGAGCATGAGAGAGAAAAACGGTACGTTGGAAGCTCCATATTGTTTTTTCTGCTTCACTGTCCAAACCTGAACTCTGTAGTTTGAATCTATTTTGTTAGGCTTTGCCATGGCAGGGATTTTGTGTCTAAGGGAGGAAATCACCGTTACATGCCAGAGTGGCATAAAGAGAAGGGGGAAAATCCTCCTTCGACATTTATCTGAGCCCTTGTGTTTTTATTTTTTTATTTTTTAAGAGTGGAAAGAATACATGGAGGTCTGAGAAGTAGGGATCAAAGAGACAAATTTGATTTATTTGAGTCTTACAGATGCATATCTGTTCTTGTTTTCTGTGATCTTCATCACAATTATCACTTTCAAAAGTGAGTTCCCCCCCCCCATGAATTCCTGTGTATGAGTTATTTTTTTATTTTTATTAGAATTGGTCGTACAATTCTCTCATTTAGCTGATTCTGGCCTTGAGCTCGTTATTGTGCAAGACACTCATAAATGGACTTGGTAACGTATATTTAGGTTTTTATCAATTCACTTTATTAATTTTGTAAAAGGTGTAAATTTGAAAATATATATATATATTTTTTGGGGGAAAAATTGTTCATTATTATTTAATTTTACTTTGAAATATAAACAGAAATAATGTATTTTTATTTTTTTTTATTATGTAAATGTCTACCTACTATATTCATATTGATGCCACCTATTTTATAAATAAACGTAAGCATTGTTCAAAACCAAATGCTCAGGTAACTAGAGGAATTACATTTGCTGTGAAAAAGCAGTGTGAATGCTTATTTCAGAAGCACTTGCTGAAAAACAGCTGAAATTAGCTAAAAATGTGCTGAAATTTTGCTGAAATGGAAGAACAAGCCTATGTTAGAAGAGCAGAAGAAAGCATAAATAATTCGTACTTGCTGGATTAGGTGTAAATAAGCAGAAATTAGCACAAACATTAGCAAATGAGCTAAATAAAAAGGTTGAAATTAGTGAAAAATAGCTGAAAAGTAGCTGAAAAGGCAGAAAGAAGCGGAAAGAGTTTAAAGGAGCTATAAAATATGGAATTAGCTGAAAAAGTTAGTGTAAAAACAGCTGACTAGTATAGCTGAAATAGCAGAAGAAAGCAGAAAGAACAGGTTTGCCCAATTAGGCTGAAAAAAGCAGAAAGGAGCACAAAAAAGTGGAAATTATCTGGAAAAAAGGGGAAATTAGGGTTAAAAAAAACAGCCGAAAAGTAGCTAAAATAGCAGGAAGAAGCTTAAATTACCAGAAGGAAGTGGAAAGACCACATTTTTGCTGAATTGGGTTGAAAAAAGTTTAAATGAGTGCAAAAAAAAAAAAAAAAAAGTGGGATTAGCTGAAAAGTTCCAATTAGCATAAAACCCACTAAATAGTAGCTGAAATGGCAGAAAAAGCTGAAACTTGCAGTAAAAAGCTGAAAGGAGCACAAACCAGCTGAAAAAACAGCTGAAAGTAGCTGGAAAAAAGTTCAAATTTGCACATGGAAGCTGAAAGAAGCAGAACCGGAACAAAACGTGAAAGGAGCAGTAAAAGGTTGTACACAGATCTAAAGATTTGAAGGATGGAAAATGAGCTCATTTCATTTTCTATGAGAGAAAAAGTGACAGAAAAGGCTAAATATTTCAAAAAGCTAAAGCTGCACTAATACCAAAAGTCATTTCACTCTTCTCCTGAAAGAGCTGAACATTTTCATGTTCGATTTGTTGAAATAGCACCAAAATTGTGGAACGAGAAAGATGCTGACAAATGTACGGAAGAAAAATGTATCACAATTGTGTGAACGCTTCATAAACATTCACACAATTAATAAATAAATATAAATATATATATATATATATATATTATAAATATATATATATATATATACATTATAAATATATTATAAATATAAAATATTATTATAAATTTACATAATATACATTACATATATAGCTTATAGTACAAAAATAAAAAAATATGTTGGATTAATTGGTAAAGTTTATTTTCACCAAGTTAATGCCTTTTTTCAGATCTAGATCTCCTGATAACAGATTTAAAAAGCCACTGCCGATATAAGCTTTCATGGGAAAAAATATTCTTTTCATTTGTCTCTGTTCTTCTCTTCCTGTCAGGTTAGCTGGTCTGGCTGGTTTCATTCTTTTTAATGTTTTGTTTCTGTTTCTTCTCACCTTCGTACCTTCAGTTTCCCTGCAGCCATCCATAACGCAGCTCTTTTATTGCTTTATGACAGCATAGCATCGTTAATCGTCTCTGGTCCAATCAGCTCGCCTGATTTACCTCAGGTTCACTTTGGATTCTCTTGAAAGTTTTGCAGAAGCAGGGTCAATAAAGAGTCCTACCTCAGGAGGAAAACATGCAGTGCGCTCTGACGAAGTGGAGAAATATAGGAAAACGAACCAGAGCCTGTGCCGTCGTTCACCTGAGTGCTGGACCAAAGGGACAAGCGTTGGGTTTGGTGATTAGAAAGCAGCAGGCTTTCAGGAGTGAGAAAGAGAAGGGAAGCAGCATGTTTCTCCGACAGAATATAGATTCACAACAAGCCTCTCCACTTTTTCACAGTCCTAATTGGCGTCTGCTGAGGAGGAGACGAGGTTTTCATGTTGGCGTCTCTCTCTGTTTCTGCCTCCCTCTGTTTCTCACGTCTCACGCCTCTCCTCTCTTTCTCACAAACCCCTCACATCACCGCTCCTCTCAAGCAGACAGCTCACTTGGAATGCACCATTCATAGAACTGAGAACAAAAAAAAATACATATTTGACTCTCATAGTTCACATACATTTTTCCATCAAATTGTTGGTTAACTACCTCTACCTGATGAGTATCTGCTTTCATTTACATTTAGTCTTTATTTTCTTTGGAAACATCGGTTCCAGCTTGAGCATCAGCGAATGTTCAATATTTACTTAGAAGTTCTATAATAAGTATTATCTTTTATTGAACAGTAGATTATATGAGTAGTTTCAGTCGCAAAAGCAAACGTGATTATATTGTTCTCTCCAGCTCTTAAGATGATGCTTAGATGCTTAAGAAACCCAGAAGACAAGCAAAGTTCAAGTGTTGCAGTGGGGTCTGTGGGTCATCTTTGAAATTTTTTTGAATAAATTAAATGCCATTTCCTGCATTCTGGTGTATTTTAACGGACTGTTAAACATCTATGTTTACCTACATTACCTATGTTGTCTCCTTGTGCATGAACAGAGCAGCTCCACTTCTGTCTAGCATCCTAAGCCCCGCCCCCCTCCTAATGCGAATAATACACATCGAACATTTCTCTCGTTATAATTTTAATAAATAATCCCATTTTTTTTTATTAAGAAGCCACTTAAACTGTCGAACTTGATTTGCAATTTAGTTGTGCTGTTTAATTATATATATTTTTTAGTTTTTTAATAAAAATGCGCGATGACTTTGGACTTTTGTGGCGGAGATTTGAGTTATCGGATCTGAGCAAACAGTTTGCGGAACGCACCCTGTCAAAATAAGAAAGTTCCCGGATCTTGTTCCGGCAGGATCCGGCTCAAATTAAGCACGTCCAAACCATAGGATTTATCAAAAAGGAAAGTCTTAATCCCAGTCTTAAAACTGGACAACGTGTCAGCCTTATGGACATAAACTGGGAGTTGGTTCCACAAGAGAGGAGCCTGATAACTGAAAGATCTTCCTCCCTTTCTGATTTTGGTAACTCTAGGAACCGCAAGTAAGCCTGCAGTCTGAGAACGAAGTGCTCTGTTAGGAAAATATAGAACAGTAAGATCTCAAATATAAGATGGAGCTAGGTTGTTGAGAGCTTTGTAGGTTAGAAGTTAGATTTTGAACTCTATTCTGAAAGTTACAGAAAAAACTGGACACTGTACATAGTATTTGTTTATACCTGGATGCATAATCTGCAAACATTTATTGTCACGTTTGCCATATTAATCCAAAAAAACTGTAAAGTTTGAAGCTTCTTTTGTCTAAAGTCAAGTAGCGTCAAAAATACTCTGGCTTGCATAGTTTAAGGTGTTTTTCTTGCTTTTCTCTAAATGTGAAGCTCGTTGACAAAAGAAAAGCCTGAATGAAAAAAACAAACAAAAAAAACCCTTCAAAAAGCAGAGTGCAAAGCAATTAAACTATATTTCTCTTTTCCTTTCTCAACATTTAGGTTATAGAGCAGCAAAAAGCTGCTGCAGACCTTCAGGGCAGGCTCTTTTAGGCATTTTTTTAATGTAAAAAAAAAAAAAAAAAGAAGTGATCAAATGGTTCTTTTATCCATGAAGCTTCTATGGTGAAGTCCAAATGGCTCTTTAATGAGTTAATCTAACAGAGCCTGTGTAAATACCATGTTATACCTCAGCTGTGTCCACAGCTCTCGAGGCATTAGGAGTCCCTGAGTCAGGATAATCGTGTTGTGTGTCCACAATGGAATCAAACGGGAAGGTTTTTCTTTTCGTTGGCAAGCGGTGAAGGTTTGTGGCAGGAAATAGGAGCTGCGGAGTGTCTCTCTCTTCCCTTGGCTCTGGCTTGAGGTCTCCTGCCAGCGAGCGAAGGCACGGAGCCAAACCTTTTTTTTCCTTTTGTGTGTGTATCATTGTGATTTTTGTTCATAAAACAAATCGGCGAGTAAAAAGAGGAAGCCAGATTGCTGTGTGAAAGCATTCTTTGAAATCTGCATGTTCTCCTTTTTTTTTTTTTTTTTTTTTTTCCCCCGCCGGGGGAGGAAAGCCAATTTTTTTTAAACCCCATCCCCAACCCCCCCCCCCCCCCCCCACTCACTTCGGCTTTTTAATCACACTCATCATCGCTGAATCTAAACAGCCGGACAGCGTTTAGCCGTGCCATAGCTCGCCTCTGATCTGCAGGCCTCCCTCTTCCCAGAATGCTCTCCTCAAACGAGGGAACCGATGTGCAGTCATCAAGATAGGCATAGCTTTGGCCCCTGATGAGGAAACGATGGGACAAAAACAACCCTTTTATCAGGACAGTACGATGAGACGAGGGGGCTGCACATTCTTCAAAAGCAGAACCTGCTTGGGGAAACAAAGATGCTGCAGGGTTTCTTTGCCTTTCTCTATTTTCTCAGGCCGTGTCCTTTATTTTCCCCTCTCACAGTTTGTGAAAATCGCCACGTCTGTGTATCTTTCACTCTGTCACTCTTTAAAAGAGAAGGGAAAGACACACATCCTGCTGCTTTTTGCTGCCGCTCCAGCCCCCCCCCCCCCCTTCTCTTTTCCTCTCAGGAAGTTTCCCATCTGCCTTTGTGCTGGCTTGGTGTGGAGAGAGAGGCCCGGCGGTGTTGAAACAGTGGCCGATGCACACACTGATTGGGAAGCACACTCATGCATGTAGCGTTTTACAAACACGCACTCGCAGACGGGCTTGGATTCAGATGGACATACTAAATGTGCGCACTCAGTCATACACGCAGGCCTGCAGTAGATAAGCACGGCTACTTTCTGTTTTCATTGCATTCATTAATCTTCTGTTTGCATCTTGCTTCTCTTTGCTCACTCCTCTCCTTGACCCGGTCGACCTGCCCATTTTTCCCTCTTGTTACCATAGAAACGCCACTTTTTTGGGCTACATGAGCCAAATAAAACGTTAAAAACCCCAAATGGCCAGAAAATAAACTCTTCTATCTTTATTTTTTATCTACGAATGACTGTTTTCGCTACAATTCCTGCAGCCAGCCGCAACATCAACCTCTTCCTCTGATCTCTGACCCTGACGGTATTCCTCCTCTGTTTCTAGAATCATCCCGTTCCAAAGGCCGCTGAAGATCAAGGAGCTGCTGCAGAAAGTGACTGAGGCCTTCGGCCAGCAGATGGACATGTTCTTCATGGAGAAGGAGGTAAAAGATTAGAAATTAGAGCCAAAAATCACTGACGAAAGAATAGCAACTCTTAATTGTGCAGTTAAGAGATGATTTAATTGCAAAGTATCTATAACAATAGTAGGTTTGAGTTAGTGACAGTTTGGTCAAATGTTGCTGGTTCTGGTGGTTAAAATGTCTAAAGTTTGACTTAGTGATTTTATTTGCACAAATGTTTTTGGCACAAGTTTAGACGGCATGCCTTTAGCTCAGTTTCAGCCACATTTACAAGGAGATGTTATTGCATGTGGACGGGCTCCAGTGAAGCATGAAGCGTGCAAACTTTAACATTTTTTTGGTTTAAGTTTGCTCTGGCTTTCCTCTTCCAATCAAACTTATGTGCTGTGCTTCTTTTAAAATTTTTTTTAAGAAAAACCTGACCAGGACCAAGTTTTTTCCAGCTTAGAAAATATTACAAAACGCGTTACTTTAGAGTGTAAAACTCGTTTCCTGTGAATTTGCTGTAAATGTCTACATTTTTTTCTGCAACTTGAGGAAACACCTAGACTTGAGCAATGCTTAAAACTTTGTTGCAAATTAATTAAAAGTACTCAAATTTAAGTTGTATTATTTGGATATACTTACACGTTCGCATTAACGAGATAGCTTATACAGTAGTCCCACGCTACTTTGCGGTTCGACTTTCGCGGACTCGCTCTATCGCGGTTTTTCAAAGTAAGATTGAACATGACACACAACTGGCTGACTGATGGATGAGCTGCACAATCGGCATGGATTTTTATTTAAAATAAATTATTTTAAATTATCTATCACCTTTGTGCAGCCCACATCTGCGGGGAGAAGCTTCCTCCTGCAGCGTGTCGTATCTCCGCTCTGCAGCAGAGAAGTGGGCGTGGCCAAGAACGCTGGCAGGTGTCAGAGAGCAGCCAGAGGCAGAGAGTGAAGATCATGACATGCTGTGCTCTTTTAGAGCGTTTAGAGTTTAGAAACATTGTTTAGAATATTGCAACAGTGTGGGAAGGGTTTAAAA